TGTCTATTAAATGAGCCATTTAATATATTGAAAGCCAACTTTATTTTCTGTTGGTTCATCCTCTCAAAGGTGACTGATCTGATTTCTTTAGCAAGTTCAAATTGGCCTAACCTCCATGTAGATTGTTTTGGCAGCAGTAAAGAGTCTACTAGTTTTTGGGGGATCAGCCATGGTCAGCTAGGTGTTACCATCCATAGCACTGATACATCAAATGGTTCCAGTTCTTGGATCATCATATAAAAACAAATGGTTAAATATAGTTTACAGCCATCCAATATATAAATGTTGTATACGTGCAACTCAATAAATAATAGTTTTATGCTAATCTACATCAATGGGTAATTTATTCATAACTTGCTAATATCACTGCAGACTATTGGATAGTAAGGGGGAAAGTATAAAGCATATAAAGTAATTCTCAGTATGGAAAATGTGGATAGAGGGAAGTTTTGATCCTTTTCCCATAGAGTGTCATCCATTGAACTTGAATACAAGTAGTCCTCAACTTACTATATATTATATAGTTATATATTATATAACGCTTTTAATTAAGAGGGTACATTGAATAAACATAACTTTGAGTTTCAAATAACACTGATTTTGTTGTTGTCTTGGGTGAAAACAATTCAGGTGCTCAGGCATAAAAATGTGTCACACACTATACTTTTCCACGCACACTGAAAAAAAATTAGAGGGAACATTGGTACTGGTGTCTAGTTCAAACATTCCCCTGCGAATATTGTCCTATCGTATAAGGCCCTAGAGTCACTGGGAAAATCGTGCTCCTTGGAAGCTATTTCTTTGTCTAACTAGTCTAGGATATTGTCTTTCGGAGCAATTCACACAATCTCTAAGGCTGTGCCAGGCAAAAATCCTTCCGTACATCTTTCCATCCAACTAGCCTTGAAAAAGGAGCTTTGGGGATGGCTCGGACGAGGGCTCTGTGTGGGAGGCAGAGATGGGGCCAACAACCCTACTTCCCTTAACCACCACCTACCACTAGAAGTTACAAAACTGTCACTTACTTTTTCAGTCAGAATGACAGCATCAACAATGTCAACTACTTCTTCAAATACACCTGGCAAGTAAGCCCCAACCTTCTTCACCATCCATTCCTCACCTGTGGGAGTGGGTGGGAATGGGAAACTCAAGATGTAAGCACACAACACACATTAAAGATGTCCTTTCATAGGATCGTGGATAAGAAATCAGAAAGATACCTGTCACACGTTTGTTCCCCTCCCTGTCTCTGCATTCCTTCCGTGCCTGAAGTTTGATGGCTTGGTTGGGGCGAATGATGGTGGCCAGGATTGTCTCCACAATTTCAACCTCTTTTCGTGGGATGTAGGTTCCTGGAAATGACAGTGGTTTACTAGATGAGCTAGCTGGGCTCCAACTCAGTTATGGCAGAGGAGTGATGGCAAACCTTTTTTCGCTCCCATGCCAAATGCGGGGGGAGTCCAGGGGGGTCATGTGCTGGCGTACTACACCCCTAACGCACTCCCCCCGCATGCGCACATGACCAGCTCCCCCATTTTTGCCACTCCCCAGGCTCCAGAGGCTTTCTAGGAGCCTGGGGAGGGCAAAAACAGCCTCCCCCCGCACCTCCAATGCCCTCTGAAGGCCTCAAGAGCTCCCCTGAAGCTTCTGGAGGGTGAAAAATGGACCTAGGAGCAAACTGGAAGTCCGTTCCTGAACTTCCGATTTGCCCATAGGGCTGCTTTTTCGAAAAACGGCCTCAAAAGAAGGCCATAGGGTGGTGGAGATTGGAAAGGAGCGCAGGTTTCTGACTTGGTCAAGTCAAGCCAAAAAACACAGGAAGAAAAAGAATGCAAACTATTTTTCCTGGTTCCGTGCATAGGGGGGAGGGGAGTCCTTGTAAAATAGGCTAAGGTATTTGTGGAAGAAAAATCATATGAATCCATATTTTCATTTTAATACTGCAATTATTCACAAACATATTGTGAAGAGTCCTTTTCAATGTTTTCTTTTTTACCATTGACACTTCTCGAGGTAGTCCTTGACTTATGATAAGCGAGCCCAAAATTTATATTGCTAAATGAAAATTTTTGTTAATTGACTCCATTTTACAACTTTTCTTGCCACATTTGTTAAGTGGATCACTTAACAGTTGTTAAATTAGTAATACGGTTGTTAAGTGAATCTGGCTTCCCCATTGACTTTGCTTGTCAGAAGGTCACAAAAGGTGATCATATGACCCCGGGTCATTGCAGCCGTCATAAATGTGACCCCGTTGTCAAGCATCCGAATGTAAATCAAGTGACCATGGGGATGCTGCAATGGTCGTTAAGTATGAAAAATGGTCTTGTCACTTTTTTTTCAGTGCCGTTGTAACTTTGAATGGTCACTAAATGAACTGATGTAAGTCAAGAACTACCTGTATTGAGATTAAAAGCCAATCGGGATTTTTTAAAAATAGAAAAAACACATTCACATGGGATGCAATGAGAAGGGGAGAATTCAGAGGAATATTTTGGCACCAGATTTCCTGGAAAACAATTGGGTTTGACTGACTTCAGTTTTGCCTATTTGACTGGCAAACGGCTTTTGTGGAATCTCAGAATTCCTCACTTTTCTTCATACCCATTTGTTTCAGCTAAAGATGCTGGCAAGTGAAGCCATAATCTTCTGCAAAGATCTACATGTGTCATCCAGGGGTGTGGAATCTATGCTCCCCACATTCGGCTGAAGTAGTGCATTCAGGATTACTCACCATTGGCTATGCTAGTTGGGGTTATTGGGACCAGTTCTTCAGCCAGATATAGAGAACTAAATATCTCAAAGGGCTAGTCGTAACTTATAAAGCCCTTCATGGTATTGGACCTGGGTACTTGAGAGACCGCCTGCTGCCAATTACCTCCCACAGACCCGTTAGATTACACAGATTAGGTCTCCTCCAGGTTCCGTCTACCAGCCAATGCCATCTGGCTACCACCCAGGGGAGGGCCTTCTCTGTTGCAGCTCCGGCCCTTTGGAATGAACTCCCCGCGGAGATTCGGACCCTCACCCCTCTCCAGGCCTTCCGGAAAGCTGTCAAAACCTGGCTGTGCCGGCAGGCCTGGGGTTGATGAGTTCCCCTCCCCTCTCGACTGGTATGGCTGTATGACTCTTGTGTATTTTAATTACGTGTATTGTGTTTGTATCCCCTTTCCCCTTTGGAGTTGTTCGCCGCCCTGAGTCCCTCCCGGAGAAGGGCGGCATACAAATAAATTAAATCTTGAATCTTGAATCTCACCTCCCAAGCCATGTTTACTTCCTTGACAATTGCTACTTACCAGGTCCTTCAAACAACCATTCATCTCCAGCAACATATTTGGCTGCCTGGTCATCTTCAAAGTCCAGCAGAGCTTTCAAATGCAGGGCGGTATTAGCCAAGACAATTTGTAAAGGTGTAATATCCTAGAAAAGCAGATGAACAAAAGAGCTAGTAACAAAAGCAACGTCAGGGAGTGGTCAAGCCTTGGGAGGCTGGCAAACACAAGGAAACAGGATCCCTTTTGATTTCTGGAAAGATCTTTCTTAGCGGTCAAGTAAATTAAACAGAGCAAAAATGTCAATAAAATTGAACCGAATAAACAGAAACAGAATCTTGAAACTTGCCAAAGTAATTCTCCAGCATAACTTATATAGGTAGCCCTCAACTTGCAGCCACAATTGAGCCCAACATTTCTGTTGTTAAGCAAGACAGTTCTTAAGTACGTTTGCCCCATTTTTCGACCTTTCTTACCACGGTTGTTAAGTGAATCACTGCAGTTATTTAGTAACACAGTTGTTAAGTGAATCTGGTTTCCCCATTGATTTTGCTGGTCAAAAGGTAGTAAAACATGATCATCTGATCCTGGGACACTGTAACCTTCATAAATATGAGTCAGCTGCCAAGCATCCAAATTCTGATCATGTGACCAAGGGGATGCAATGTTCATAAATATGAAAAAATGTCATGCCACTTTTTTCAGTGCTGTTGTAACTTTGAATGGTGACTAAATGAATGGCTATAAGTCAAGGATTACCAATCAGCCAGAATTACTCTGAGTCTCTTTCTCACACTTCCCTGCTTCCCTGAACTCAACAATCCCTTCTGTAATGATTCCATCCTCCTCCTTAAGTGTCCTATCTTCTCACATATTCTCTTATGCCAGGGGTGAAAATGCTGCCGGTTCGGGCCAGTTCGCCTAAACTGGTAGCAAAAGAATGCTAAAAACAGTTTGATCAGCTGTGTGGCCATCAGCTGTGCCAAGCAATCCCCAGAATATTTTAAAAACTTTTTTGGCATTTTTTTTTACTACCAATCAGCTGTGCAACAATCAGCTGTGCCTGATTGTCTGTGAGGTTCCTGCTTGTTGCAGGGGACATTTTGTGTGAAGTCCAGCTGCTTTTTACATTGTGTGTGAGTCAGTTGTGCAGCCACACCCACCCAGTCACACCACCAAGCCACGCCCGCCATTTGAGGAAAGGAGAAATTAAGACTCCCTTACCTCTTTTAGTTCCTCTCCTGGATATAAGGGGAAAGGATCCTGAGCCATCCTGATCTCCAAGTCAGCATGTGCGAGCCGGACCTGCCCCAGAGCATCAAGATGGACTGCCCCATCTAGTCCACGAACCACCGGATTGAGGATGATACAGTAATGTCGTGGTGGAACCATCACCATCTTCTTTGGAGCTACTATGATCCTGAAGTGGAGAAAAGCAGAGTTTAAAAAAAAAAAAATCAAAGGTATAAGTACAGATAGGCGAGAACCTGCCTCAAATACAGTAACTGTGAGGTTGATTTTGGACTCCTAGTGGGATATATTTGAATATGAGCCAGCAATGCGCAGCAGCAGTCAAAAAAGTTAATACAATCCTTGGTTGTATAAACAGAGGCATAGAATCAAGATCACGTGACGTATTAGTACCACTTTATAAAACCCTGGTAAGACCATGCCTGGAATACTGCAACCAATTTTGGTCACCATACTACAAAAAAAGATGTTGAGACTTTGAAAAAAGTTCAGAGAAGAGAAACTAAGATGATCAAAGACCTGGAGATTAAACCATATGAAGAATAGCTGCAGGTTTTGGGTCTGGCTAGCCTAAAGAAAAGAAGAATTAGGGGAGACATGATAGCAGCGTTCCAATATTTGAGGGGCTGCCACAAAGAAAAGGGGGGTCAACCTATTTTCCAAATACCAGAAGGCAAAACAAGAAACAATGGTTGGAAACTGATCAAGGAGAGAAGCAACCTGGAATTAAGGAGAAACTTCCTACAGTGAGGACAATTCAGAAACCGTGGGCACTCAGTCGATGGAGGTTTTAAGAATAGACTGGACAGTCACTTGTCTGAGATGTTATAAGTTCTCCTGCTTGAGCAGGGGCTGGACTAGAGGACCTCCAAGGTCCCTTCCAGCTATCACTATTCCCATTCCCATTCCCTCTTCCTTCCCTTCCCTTCCCCAGTGTGGTGGAGGAAATGGAAAGGGAGAAATAAATATTGGGTTTCTTGGTTCACGATTAAGATGATGAGTTCAAGCTTCACCTCTTCAGGTTTTGGCATATGGATAGTCCTCGATTTACAACAGTTCCTTTACTAACCATTTGAAGTTAAAACAGCACTTGAAAAAAGTGACTTATGTTTTTCAGACGACTGCTATAGAATCCCCATGGTCACCCATGCAAAATTTGGATGCTTGGCAACTGGCATGTATTTATGACGGTTGCAGTGTCCCAGGATCATGTGATCCCCTTTTGCAACCTTCTGACAAGCAAAGTCAATGGAGAAGCCAGATTCACTTAACAACCAGGTTGCTAACTTATCAATTGCAGTGATTTTCTTAACTGTGGTAAGAAAGGTCATAAAATGGGTAAAAGCTCACTTAACAAATGTCTCACTTAAAAACATAAATTTGGGGCTTAATTGTGCTCCTAAATTGAGGACTACCTTCAAGCCTGCAGGCTTGATGGGCAAAGAACTTGTAAGAAAATTTGAGATGGAAAGACATACTAATTCCCACAATGGAAGGTTTTTTTGTTTGTTTGTTTGTTTTTGCAAAGAACTCAGGTTTATTTGTGTGTAAATGTGTTTTATTTTCCATTTTCATTTTCGTACAGTCACACATATACTGTATAGAACCGGGGCCATATAACATTAAACAATAAACACAGCCATTCCTCTTGTCAATAATACCCAATGTACCTCTTCGACCCTCCATACACCCTTTCTTTCGCCCCCCTCCAACTTTCTACCTTCCCACAATCATTCCCCTCTACCCTACTTCCCCTCCCCCTCTACCACACCTCTCTCCCAATACAGTGGAATGGAAGAATTGTTTTTGATGGATGCCACAAAATTGACCATTTTAGGCTAGAAATTGTCAAAACAAGAATTTACTTCTGGACTTTTTGCTCAAAACTGGAAAAAATCCTGAAATTCTGATTTTAAGGGTTGATGTTTAGAATTATTTTGTAATTACGGAAATGGCTTGAAATGTTGTGAAATGGAAAGCAAAAGGTTGAGTTTTTGCATTCCACTGCACTGAAAAAAGTCAGAAGTGTCGTTTTTCCCCATTTTTTTCTTTTTTTTCTTTTGGTTTTCCTGTTATTTGTAACAGAATATTTGTATTTGCAATGAAAGTTAGTAAAATACATTGGGGGGGGGGAACCTTTCTTTACAGTTGCACAACACTGTTTGTCTATTTCTCATCTCAAAACAGTGGGAAACTCAAATTCAAAAGTATCAGACATGTCATTGGAATGTGAAATCACAAAACTGCATCTCACTTATTTTGGCCATGTCTTGCAGGGGAAGCACAGGTTCAAGAGCGGAGTGCCATCCTCACCCCAGCTTCTCCTGCTAACTAGCAGTTCGAAAGCATGCAAAGGTGAGTAGATAAATATCACTTTGCTGGGAAGTTAACAGCACTCCATAATATCATGTTGGCCATATGACTACTGTTGGAAGAAAAATCCAGATCCAGTTCCAAGCCGTGAATAAAATGGAGGCTGATTGGAAAGAAAGCAGAACCACCAACCACATGTCATTCTGGGACAGCTGACAAAATGGAGTTCAGAGTGGGTGGGTTTTTTATATCTTCCTTGATTCCTACAGGGTCATGGATTATTGGTGAACAGAACCAACAGAACCAACAGACACACAGCATGCAATTCTGGAACTGCTGACAAAATCGAGTTCAGTAGGGTAGGTTTTTATACCTTTTTTTATTTCTAGGGGGCCATTATAGGGATCATGGCTGGCTCTATAGGCTCTATAGGCAAAAGGGGAAATGCAAATCCTAGGCGTTTGTCTGAGGTAATCTTGTCTTGCCTAATTGCTTATCTGGAATTTCGGTCTGACCCAATCTTTCTGACTGGATTGCCAAATCTTCATTTCTAAAACCAATTTCTAACCACTTTCGTTGTATTTATTTTGTACAATGACAACAAAGACTATACTATAAAAGCTGGCCTCCTCCGTTTCTGCTTGGGGCAGGGAGGCTGGGGCTGGTTTCTGCCTCCCTTTTTATTCTATCCTGCCTTTTTAATATTCCCCAAAATATTTCATTCTCTAGGAAGGTGGGTGGGTGCTGACTTTCTATACAGAAACCTCTTTGGTCAGTGCTGGCTCAATGGCCTTGAAACTGAAATGAGCAATTTTTCCTATAGTCATCAATGACTAACATAGTAAAATATATAGGACTCCTTTATCTTTTACACGTGGGAGAATTCACCACAAAAAGCAATTACATTTGCAAGAGTTAGCAGTAAAAGGAAACCAGGAAATCAAATAACATGGTGGCTTTGAGTGGTAACACTACTCAAAGCCGACATCAGCCAGAGCATAGAACAACTCAAAGAGGTAGTGAAAGATCAAGAACTGTGGAAAGACCTGGCCCATAGAATTGCCAAGAGTTGCAAATCTCTTGGTTTTGCAACTCTTGGAAAACTTGCAAAATAGCTTTCAAGGTTTCAGGTGCTCCGGAAGCTGCTCTTTGCTCATCCTGGTGTAAGAAGGGTTACTCAGGCAGCCAAAGTGGCTGCAAAGAAAGTGCCAACAAAGGTAATAGAAAACCAGAAGAGAGTTAAGGGATCCAGTCATTCAAAACCCAAAGGTGAGGATTTGTCCCAAGATAAAGAAACCATGACTTTTGAAACCGCCTTTTGATGAGCAAAGGAACTTTGCACCAGATAGGTTCACTTCCTCAAAGCAACTAAGCCCCAATTTAATCTGCCAGTCCCACCCAAGATTATTGATTCAAAGGTCTTGTTAGCACATGCTGTACAAATAGTCCTTGACTAACAACCACCATTGAACCCAAAATTTATGTTACTAGGCGAAACATTTAAGTGAGTTTTGCCCCCTTTTCATGTCTTTTCTTGCCACAGTTAAGCGAATCATTGCAGTTGTAAAGTTAGTACATGGTTGTTAAGTGAATCTGGTTTCTCCATTGACTTTACTTGTCAGAAGGTTGCAAAAGGTGATCACATAACCTTGGGATACTGCAGCCATCATAAATATGAAACCGTTGCCAAGGATCTTAATTTTGATGTGAGCATGGGGACGCTGCAACTGTCGTACGTATGAAAAACGGTCATGTCACTTTTTTCAGTGTCACTGTAAATTTTGAAGTCACTAAATAAATTGTTGTAAATAGAGGAATACCTGCATTTGCATTCTGGTTCCTAACTTATTTCAATTTTATAGTATGGTAATTGTTGCAAATGCTTCTGTCTCTGCTTTTATGACAAGGTAAGCAGCCTAGAGAGGAATGATAATGTGATGGGCAGTATATAAATTTAATAAATTTAGAGCAGGAGTCTCCAAACCTGGCTACTATTAACACGTGTGAACTTCAACTCCCAGCATTCCCTAGCCAGCAGCTGCCTGAGGAATTCTGGGAATTGACATGCACAAGTCTTAAAGTTGCCAAGTTTAGACATTCCTACTCTAATAGCAGGGACACAGTGGCTAAGATGCTGAGCCTGTCGATCAGAAAGGTCGGCAGTTTGGTGCTTTGAATCCCTAGCAACATGTAGCAGAGTGAGCTCCTGTTACTTGTCCCAGCTTCTGCCAACCTAGCAATTTGAAAGCACGTAAAAATGCAAGCAGAAAAATAGGAACCACCTTTGGTGGGAAGGTAATAGTGTTCTGTGCGCCTTTGTCGTTTAGCCATGCCGGCCACATGACCACGGAGATGTCTTCCGCCAGTGCTGGCTCTTTGGCTTTGAAACGGAGATGAGCACTGCCCCCTAGATTCAGGAACGAGCATATATGTACGAGGAGAATCTTTACCTTTAATTGTGATAAGTGTTTCTGTCTCTGCTTTTATGACAAGGTAAGCAACCTCGGGTGGAATGATAGTGTGATGGGTGGCATATAAATTTAATAAATTTAGAGCAGGAGTCTCCAAATTTGGCAACTTTTAAGATCTGTGGACTTCAACTCCCAGCATTCCCTAGCCAGCAGCTGCCTGAGGAATTCTGGGAATTGAAGTTCACAAGTCTTAAAAGTTGGCAAGTGTGGACATTCCTACCAGTAATAGTAATTTCTATAGTAGCCCAGTCCCTGAAAAAAAAAAATCAGCAAAGACTACCCCACCCTCCCTGCCCCTTCTCCAGCTCCCCCTGAAGATTAATTCTTGGTCTCAGCGGGAAGACTGAGCAACTGCCCCCTTGCGGAAAGTTTTGAGAAAAAAGCAAAAAGAACTGCTTTTACGCACGCGAATAGAAAACCTCTATTTTGTTGCAAAACTTTGGACAAATCGGAGCGGTCCTCCCGGCTGGAGCCTCGCAACAGGAAGCTATTGAGTTAGTTACCTGTTAGTTACTGTTACTATTGAATTAGTTAATGGAAGAGCGGTAACTATTTTCCCAAGGAAGAAAGAGGTGTGAAAAGTTGCCAAGCGGTTATAGTATCATATCACCCGGATTAGGCTCTTTCTGCCGGGACTCACCTCTCATTATCCTGGCGGATATAAGTCTTGGGCCCGATTTCCACGCGGGTGACGTTGGAGTTCTGATCCAAGACATGGATGTAATGATAGGGAGGGATCCGGATAATCGACTCGTTCGCCATTTTGTCTTCCAAGCTGCGTTGCAAAGAGAAGGAAGAGCAAAGGGATTTTAGAAATTCTGCCAGAAAATAATCACGGCAAGAATGCCTGCTCGGTCATTCTCCCGTGCTTTCCTCTCAACCGCGAGGGCTTCTGAAGGAAGCCTTTGCAATCTCTCTCTTAGCCACCAAGCTCAGCAAGGCGCTGATTCCTTCCAGAATCCAGACTGGCTTACTCAGCAACCAGCGCCCTCGGGGAAGGAAAGCGACACACCCGCTTCATAAATTCATACCCCTTTGGGCAGTTACGGGAAAACCTAGCTAAAGAGCTGGGCATTCAAGGTGGGCAGATGATCGTTGCCTAACGTGGCTGTCAGGTTTGCTATTCTGGGTGAAAACGAAAAAGTCACACAAACGTTCCTGTTTTTGGGGTTTGGGTTTTTGAGTGTGCAGATCTTGACCAGAGGAGATCCACCCTAAAACTCTCGTTCCTCCTTGACAGAGTCTTCTTACTACTGGACGTAACTGGTGAAAAAGTCAGTTTCACTCACTATCTTCAATGCTGCCCTTTGGGAAACTTCTTAGCTCAAAGAAGGCTAGTTTGAAAAAAAAGAACAGAAAAGAAATCTTAGCATGACAAAAGGAATGGAGTGAGTGGGGGGCTACCAAAGGCATGGCCCATCCCAATCTGGAAATAAGGAGGTAAGGATGAAGAAGGTGAATTAAACTTACCAAGTGGAGTTGCTTTGTGTAGCTAAGGGGGAGGCCCTAGACTTGGAATCCCTCTTATATAGTAAATTTATTTCCTGGTTTGAGAGGTGGAGCAAACTACATCTGTTCAAAAAAAAAAATGTTAAAGGAGAAGCAGAGTTCAAATGCATCTAATAGTCATCCAGAGTTTTGCAACCAAATAATAGCCCTGCCAAAGTACAAGTAGTCCTCGACTTACAGCAGTTTGTTCCGTGGCCACTCAAAGTTTCAATGGCACTGAAAAAAAGTCGCTTATGACCATTTTTCAAAGTTACAACCTTTCCAGCATCCCCATGCCCATGTAATCAAAATTAAGATGCTTGGCCAGTGGTTCATACTTATGACCCATGCAACATCCCAGGGTCATGTGATCCCCTTTTACGACCTCTTGACAGGCAAAGTCAATGGGGGAGTCAGATTCACAAACTGTACTAACTTACCAACGGCAGTGATTCACTTAACAACTTGAGTAAGAAAGGTTGTAAACTGGGGGCAAAACTCACACTAACAAAGGTCTCACTTAACAAGAGAAAGTTTGGATTCCAATTGTTGTAAGTCGAGGACTACCTGTATTATGGAGAAGTGTTGGTTCAGGACATGATTGCAGGTACATTTTATTGCCAAAGGTGAAGTAATTATAAATAATTTCAAAGTATCATAGTCCAACAGAATCCAGGAACCAGAGGGTTATACCTGATAATAAAATAAAAGATATATACCTGTATATTGAGGTACAATTATGTAAACCCTGAAGCTATGAGAGGTTATGATAATAAATTCATCAGATTTTACAATTAAAATAGTAAAGTTTATTTTATTCAACCTTGGCTGATTATGGCAGAAAACCAGTTTTAAAACAACCGATGAAGTGTGAGCCCGCTTGGAAACACAGCGTTATGAAGAATTTACCTGTGGAAATCCTGCCTATTACACATATGAAAGATGTAAGAATTGATCCTGAAAAATCCTTGCTCAATAGTAGCAACTGTGAGAGAGATCTTGGAGTCCTAGTGGACAACCATTTAAATATGAGCCAGCAGTGTGCAACAGCTGCCAAAAAAGCCAACACAGTTCTAGGCTGCATAAACAGAGGGATAGAATCAAGATCACATGACGTTTTAATACCACTTTATAATGCCTTGGTAAGGCCACACTTGGAATGTTGCATTCAGTTTTCGTCGCCACAATGTAAAAAAGATGTTGAGACTCTAGAAAGAATGCAGAGAAGAGNTTAGTAAAGTTTGACAGTGTTGTAGGAATTAGTTGTTTAACAGAGTGATGGCATTCAGGGAAAAACTGTCTAGTTGTTCTGGTGTGCAGTGCCCTATAGCATTGTTTTGAGGGTAGGAGTTGAAACAATTTATGTCCAGGGTGTGAGGGGTCTGTAGATATTTTCACAGACCTCTTTTTGACTCGTGCAGTATACAGGTCCTCAATGGAAGGCAGGTTGGTAGCAATTGTTCTTTCTGCAGTTCTAATTATCCATTGAAGGAGCTGACGGCTGGCATGCCAGCAAATATGGCTCTGTGTGCCATAGGTTCACCATCACAGCCCTATACCATTTTAGACAAATGGTTGTCCAATCTCTTCTTAAAAACCTCCAGTGTTGGAGCATTCACAACTTCTGGAGGCAAGCCGTTCCACTGATTAATTGTTCTGTCAGGAAATGTCTCCTTAGTTTTAGGTTGCTTCTGTTCTCCTTGATTAGTTTCCATCCATTACTTCTTGTCCTGCCTTTAGGTGTTTTGGAGAATAGCGTGACTCCCTCTTCTTTGTGGCAACCTCTGAGATATTAGAACACTGCTATCATATAGGGAGTGGCTATCCTAAATCTCTTCCTCTGTCTCCAATGTCACCCCCAGCCTGTATTGTCTCTTGCCCTCCCACACATCCCAAATGTGCTCCCTCCTTCATGGAAAACAGAGACTTCACTCTAGTTCATCACATGACCTTCTCCTTCAAAGACACAATCCATCACATTTGTCCCCTCTAAAACAGGCCAGAAATGCCAGATAGCGGGAAAAGGAAATGAAGGTTACAGACTACAGAGCAACTTCCTCAAAGAACAAAGAGAAGTTACATGCCAAGAACTGCCTTGATCATTTTCATATCATCCACCTAAGCTAGCATTCCAAATTTCTTAACAGCAGCCAGTGAATTACTGGTACCAAAAGGTGAGAACCACAGAAACAATCTC